CAGGTTTCTGGGTAGCTGGCTGCTCTCCAGGCTCCGGTTGAACGCATAGCCAAACGTCAAACTCCGCAGATTTCTGGGTTGTCCGCTGCCCTCTAGGCTCCGGTTGAATGCATGGCCAAACGTCAAACTCCGCGGGTTTCTGGGTAGCTGGCTGCTCTCCAGGCTCCGGTTGAACGCATAGCCCAACGTCAAACTCCGCAGGTTGCTGCGTTGTCGGCTGCCCTCTAGGCTCCGGTTGAATGCATGGCCAAACGTCAAACTCCGCAGGTTTCTGGGTATCTGGCTGCTCTCCAGGCTCCGGTTGAACGCATAGCCCATCGTCAAACCCCGCAGGTTGCTGGGTTGTCCGCTGCCCTCTAGGCTCCGGTTGAATGCATGGCCAAACGTCAAACTCCGCAGGTTTCTGGGTAGCTGGCTGCTCTCCAGGCTCCGGTTGAACGCATAGCCCAACGTCAAACTCCGCGGGTTGCTGCGTTGTCGGCTGCCCTCTATAGGTTGAATGCATGGCCAAACGTCAAACTCCGCAAGTTGCTGGGTAGCTGGCTGCACCACATGGCGAACCCCGCCCCGAAGGGCATCTACAGGGTCCTGGGGCTCTACGATCTTCTCCCGCTGTGGGAGCGACTCGGGCCCTCATTGTGAAATAGAAGTCTATACTTTTTTCCCTGGTTACTTCAAAGTCCAGATCTACGAGCCCACTCGAGGTCGGTGCGGGCCCGGTCGGACTCCGCATGGCCCTGCAGCTGGCTCTCGTTGGCGCGCCGGGGGTCGCAGAGGGCTTTTTTTTTGGGGGGGGTTTCACGGCTGCAGCTTTAAATGGGAGTTTCCCAAAATTAGGGGGTACCTTATTTTGGGGTCCTTATAATAAGGATCCTATTGTTTAGGGTACTAGAATGGGGTCCCCTATTTTCGGAAACTCAAAAATCCTAATCATCTCGAAGCCCAACAAGCGTAAATTGCCCACCTGAACCGTGCACCCAATCTCTCCGAACCTCGACCCTCGACCGTCAGCGGTCATAATGAAGCCGGTCTTCACATGCTAACATTCCTAAACTGTACACTGCAAGCCAATCCGGGAAGCTCAGACTCTAAGCCCTAAAACCGCAAGCATGGTATAAGCACGAACCCTTGAACCTGAGACCCTCGAAAAATGAAATCACTCGAACGGAAGTCCTCAAGCCCAAAGCCGTTAGGTCCGTTACCGTGCTGGAGAAGCGGGGCGAGCGGGGATCCTTGCTGGGTTGTGGGGTATTTGAGGTATCGAGTTTGATACCGTTGTACATGGAACTTTGTTAGGGCGTGTAGGGGTTTAGGAGGGGTCTATACTATAAGTGCTGTTGAGCTTGTGCGGTGTGTGCGTTTGGGTGAACTGGGCGGGGCTTTGGGATTTTCAGGGTTGGGGTCTAGAGCGGAACTTGGTAGGGAGGTTCAGTTGGGGTTCGGGAGGTTAGTTTTTTTTCTTTTGTCGGGGCTTTGTGCTTAGGGTTTAAGAGATTCGGCAGGGATAGGATAGTTGATCCATCATGTTTTCAGCCCTAGTGCACGAATGCAAACGAATTCGATTTCGGATCACAAACCCACAAGCCAGAAAAAGATGCGGCCCAATTCCTCAGCCCACAAACCCCTTAAGCTCTCATGCCGAAAACACTGAAACCCTAAACCCTGAAACAGCAGCTTCCTCTGCAAGGGTGTACTTGTGTTGTCGTGTGCAGGGTTGCATCCAGCGTTGATTTGCCTAGTAGTCGAGTAGGTAACCTTTAACCTTTTTTGGGTAGTGTAGTCCCTATATAATCCCTATATAACCCTATATAATCCCTATATAACCAAAAGGTTAACCTTTAGTTCCCCATGATACCCGGCAAGTAGGTTTGTCATGCTGGGGTTCAGACGCAGAGTGCTGACTCATGTGGTGTCTCAGCTGGCTGTAGAAGCCTGAATCATCAGTAGCACTATCCCCACAAGTCCCTGTTACAATCATAAGACTCGCAAGAACCGTAATAATTATGGTTCTTGTTGAAGGTCCCTCAAAACCGGATGCTAAATATGCGAGTTTCCGAAAATAGGGGACCCTAATATAGTACCTTACATAGTAGGATCCTTATTATAAGGACCCCTAAATAAGGTTATCCCAATTTCGGAAACACCCATATGAACCCTAAATCTAGGCCGTACCCACGCACGTTACACGATAATGATGATAAGGAGCCCTCAAAATAGTACTGGGAATTTTTTAAGGTCCCTACACCATAGAATCCTACTATAGATCCCTTAGAGATCTCTTTAAGGAACCCCTCAAGGGAACCCGTAAGGCCCTCTTACTTGGAGGGTCGGGTTAGTAAGTAGGTAGTAAGTAGACTTATAAGTACCCTAAGAGAGACCCTAATTGGGGGTTATGGTACTTATAAGTCCTTAAACTCACCAGTTACTAAGTCCCCCGACCCTCCAAGTAAGGCCCTCTTGTTAGACCGTTTAGGGGCCCGAGATGAGCCGAGGTTTGTCCGAATCAACCGGCTCCATCTCTGGGACTGGGTGAAGCAGGTGCCTTTTTTTTGGGGGGTCCGTAATACTAAGAATCCTACTACTAAGGGTGCTCCTGAAAAGAGCTGTGCCCAAATAATTGGCTTAGGGTTTAGGGTTTAGGGTTTAAAGGGTTGTTTAGGGAGATAAGATAGGAGCCCAAATAATTACCACGACTGTTTTTTGGTGTTCCTTATGGTAATTACGGTATAGCATACCCCCAAAGCCCTATTCTAATTAGTAAGGCCCCTCTATTAGGTCGTGAGGCGTTGGGGTTTGGGGGTCAATGCGCTTTGTAATTTGTAAGTAGAATAAGGGTTCCTTGAAGGGTTCATTCAGGGTTCACTGTCATGGTAATTGTTTGGGGTTTTGGGGTTGTAGGATTTGGGTCGTTGGGGTCTGCGGTTTGGGGTCTCAGGGTTTGGGGTTTGCTATTTCAGTGACGAGCCGTGCTCAGTAAACATCTTTTGCATTTCCCGCTGAGGGGTTGGGCATGTATGTATGTAAGTATGTATGTATGTATACATTGTATAAGGCTCTGGCTCGAGCCGATTGTTCCAGTGTGTAAGTTACTCCCGCCATGCGGTCACGCCAGCTTCTCCTTGTGGCTCTAGCTCTTTCAAGCCCTCCTTGTCGCTTGGAACAGCACAGCATCGCCTGGTGCTCAGACCGACCTGTTGCAGCCTGCACGGCAAGCCTGCCTGTTGCATTGCAAACCGACCTTGATGCCCGCTGCGCTTCTCTGTCTCAAGTGCACTGGTCGCCGTCTAGCGGCCTAGCTACTACAGCTGCCTCACCCCAAGGCCCTCCTCCTTTTGATTCCTCTGTCGCCTTGGCATGTCGCCCAAGAAGAACGCCCACGCGTCGACCAAGGCAGGCAGCGGCATACTCCGTTCAGGGCGCTTTGCCAAGGCAGCCTCAGGAGACACAGCAGTGCCGGCCAAAGCTCCGGGGACCAGGACTCGAACTCGCACTCCGGCGCCGAAGAGCCGACGAACGAGCCGTGCAGAGGCGTCTGAGTCGATCAGTGAGAGCTCCTCGTCTTCTGAGGAATCCTGGGGGCCACCGCCCAAACGAGGATCTCGTCGAGGACCACCTCATGGACCACCTCCCCCAGTGGCGGTCAATGATCCAGGGGAGGCAGCTGCTGCTGCGCTCACGCCGCTTGGAGCTTCTGTACACGCCCCTGTGTATCCCAAGGTTGCAGCAACGGCTACCACCACTTCCGGCTCATCCGGGTCGCTGTTCCCGGCTGGACCAGCCGGCCCACCGCCTCCTACGCCGGCCCCAACCATGCAGATGCCGACAGGCTGCCCCCAAGACCTTGTACTTACTTTACAAGGCGCTTGGCAGCTCCGCCTTACCCCGGTCACCCCATTGTCGATCTGTACGCCGATTTGTGCACCACCACTGCCGCACATGCCCGTTCCAGCGACGATGGCAATGGCAGCGGCCACGACCAAGGCCTCATCTCCGCCTGCACCAGGTACCTCCGGCCCTCGGGCCCCCTCTCGCCCGGTCTTCCTGGGTGACGCTGCGTTGCCCTCATCTTTGCCTCCGGCAGCTGTGGTCCCCTTCTCTTCGACATCGACGGGCTCAGCTACTCCGGCGACAGCGACAGGACCATCCGCTATCCCTACGCCGGCCCAGCTCTGGAATGCAGTGGTGTCAGGCCTTACTATGCCATCGGACGTCTGAGGCACTGCATGCAGCACTACTTCGCTGTGCCCTGCTTCCCGAACTTTTCATTTTGGAGCCCAAAGACGCAGTAGCAACGATGGTACATGAGCACCGGACACAAATGCTTGGCTGCTCCGCTTTGTCACAAGGGCCCCTGCTTAACCTGCTTCTCCTTGCTCAGCTCGGTCGCTCAGGTCACAGTAGCATGTCCTTCCTGCAGATGATGGACAATGCGGCGCCGTCTGGTGGGTGCCCCTGTCTACCTCCATCTCCGCGAGTTATGCACTGTTTGCACTCCCAGGTCCTACTCGGGCGAACTTATGCTTGCAGCCACAGCCGCAGGATAGATCGTGGCAGCCCAGGAATAAACTTCAGGCACACAGGGTGCCTGACGACACCGACTGCTCGCCCTGTGCCATCAGCCCCAGTCCTAGGACAGTGGCTGAGGCACCATGGAGTGCCCTGCCTCTGTGTGAGGCGCTCTCCGTCTCGAGGTACCGTAAAAGTGCCAGGTTCAACACCTACCGCAGCTATGCTCTTACTCAGGCATTGCACTATGAGCAGTTTTTGCCATCTCTCGAGGCCCACGTCCTATACCTTGAAGCCAGGCGAGAACTCACGGAAGCTGAGCATGCAGCCCTTCTTGCCCAGCTTACACACCTTGCTCCTCGGGCACACGCCAGCCTGCAATCCCACCTCCTTGATCTGCATCTACTCGACTAGGCTGGGTCCTGCTGGCTTCTCGAGTCGGGCTCTCACAGCTCGCAGCTCGCCTCTCCATGCACTTGCCTGTCTGCGCCCAGGCTGGAGGAGTCCTCGCCTGTGGGCTTGATCATCCTGCTCACCTCGAGCCACGGCCTCAATCGCTTCCGCCTGCCCAGCTTACATGGCTCTGCCTTGTCACCGCATTGCACGGGCACAAGCACTTGCACATTGCTGAGCAATCACCTCGCTGCTATGTTGGTTCATGTCAGCAGAAGCCCCCGGCTCAGTTGGGGCTGACTCGGCCTGGATCTCTCATGGGCAAGGCGAATCGCCTTCAGCGAGGCAAGCAGCACAAGGGCCGTCGCACAAGGGAGGCCCATCGCCCGGAGGAGAGTGTGGCCGCTGCCAAAGCAGGCCCTGGCCCAGCTCCCAGCGGCTCGAGCTCCTCGGGGACGACCTTCAAGGTCTTGGTGCTCGCGCCACGGCGCTTCATCCGCCTCTTCGAGGCCCACCCGCCGTATTTGGCTGGAACTCCGGGAGTTATCCTGCCAGATGACATCCCTGGCACTCCGCTGAGCACTACCACGGCCCCGCTCGCTGGCCAGACCACATGCAAGGTCATGCTTATCCCGGGCCTTGCCGTGCACATCTGTACCTCCCCGCAGGTGATCCCTACGCCTCCACATTCTTCTCTATCGCTGGGTGGTATCGCCGCCACCGCCATCGCGATACGTCAGGCCACCACCAGCTTTGGCACCGACGCAGGTTGATGGTCGTGAAGACTCGGACCGCACTGCACGCCCGACGGTCCAGATCCACTCGGACAGCGACACGGACGAAGAGGATGTGGTGGTGCTTCTACCGGGTCCAGGCGGGCAAGCAGAACTGCCGGAGGTGATCCACACGGCCTCCTCCCTGGAGCCTCCGGCTTCCTCGAGCTCTCAGTGTACACTTCCTGCTTCGGGTCCCGAGAAAAGGCGTCAGCTCCTGGCCAATGTGGTGATGCGAGCGGCCGAAGATGGAAGTCTCGCCAAGGCCCTCAGCCGAGTCCGATGGCCTGAGTCAGAAGACGCACCACCAGGGCACACGGACTCTGAGAGCGACACCGTGGAGGCGCTGGAACCTGGAGATGGTTTGCCACCCCCGTCGCCGGAGAACATCCTGCGTGCGGACCCAGCAGCCTCCACTCTCTTGTCGCACACCTTCCAAGGTATATCCCCTCCGGAGAACATGCTGGAGAGTGTCCGAGAGATGGTGAAGCTCCTGCCTGCCTCGGTGGCCTCACAGGATCCGCCCAGTACGTGCCAGCCTCTGCCTACGAGGCGATGGCGACGGCGTCAGCTCTCTCAACTTGAGGCGGAGGCGGAGGCACATGCCAAGGCAGACCCTCCGACGGTTACCTTAAAGGGCCTCCCAATTCGATCCCCTTTTTCTCCGATCACCCGGACAGACACCAAACGGGTGCGGCCTGAGAAGCGCAGCTCTACGTCCAGTTCCAATGATGACAGCTCCTCTGGTCGATCGGGGCCGAGCCCCGCCGTTTCACAGATATGGGCATGAGTCAGCCTGAGCCTTCATGCGCCTTGCAATAGTGTTGTTCTCACTGCCCAGGTCCTTGGGTGCTGTTCATGGACAGTGGTCTTTTTGCGTGGCCCTCAGTCTGCAGCGCTGCCTTCTCTTACCAGCATCCTGCCACGCACATCAGTGGAGCCCACAGCAGGCCATGCTTCTGCCACCCAGCCGTTTTAGCCCTCAGCCACACGCTGGTGCCTCTTTCTCTGGGCCATGGCACCTGTTCGCAAGCGGCCAGCCGGTCGTCCCTCTGGACACCGTGCTCAGAAATCTCGTACACAGGCTGCTTCCAGGACTTCAGAGCCTGCCTCTCGTGCTGCCTCCAGAGTTACCTCTACGACTCCGGCGAAGCGCCCTGCAAGCTCAACCAACAAGCCCATCGAAGGAGCTCCAAGGACCCAAACCGGACCGCTCAAAGCTTCCCTCGGACATACCCACTACGCCGTCCTGGTTTGCAAGTGATCCTGACGAGGTCCGCGCCTCCGACTCGGACCAGATCGATCGAGAAATGGCGGCTCGAGGCCTTCCACCGCCCCCAGTTCCACCTCTCTGTGAAAACGATGAGCCGCGTGGTCCGCCGCCTCCACGACCAGTCCGGTATGATGATGCCCCTGGCCCGCTCAGTGAGCCGGAGGGACCCGTTCCGGTGCCCACAGTGGTCCTGTCCAGGGCACAACATAAGGTCCTGGCGCAAACCCCGCTGTCCCACATTATGCGACACGCGTCTGCCAGTATGTACCCTAGGTCCGTGCATCCCGGATAGCAGTTCGCTGCTCTCCCTTGTGGCCGCTGCAAACAGCGTGGGCTATCAGGATGTAGAGCCTAGGCAAGCAGCCTTCATCCCGCTGCACAATGCCTGCTCCGTTGATTGGCTATGGAGAAAACGGTCTGCACTGCACTTGCCCAGTCCGGCCCACCTGCAACTGAGAGGGTGCTACCCCTCCTGGACCTGGCAATGCACCCAGGTCACGGCAGACTTGCTGCCTCAGCCCAGCCGGGCCCCGAATTCTACACTGCAGGATACCTTTCCTCGCCACAGACTGAAGCAACCAAGGACCTCATTGGGTGTCAGACGCGCTCGAAAGCTCAGATGCAAAAGGAGAATCGCTGCAGGATGGTCCTCTGTTAGAGGACTGCTTTTTCGCTGGTATGTGACTCAGGCGGAACTCCAGACTACTGGCCTGCATTACACTAGCGTGTTTCTGTGGTCTCTTGTACGTTGGGTCACAGGTCTGCTCAAGAGACTTGCAGCCACAGCCGCAACAAGGCCACTACAACAGCCCGAACAACGGGCGGACACCGTATTAGTATGGCAACTGAAACTTACACACATACATACATTCGGCATCAAAAGAGCCTACTTCGGTCCCAAGTCCGAAGGGGAGGCTTGCTCACACAGGCCACAGCACATTGAGCGCACTTCTTTGCACAAGCCGGTGCTAACCTGTAAACAAAGCCTCAGAGCCGAGGGTTAGACGTCCCCCGCCGCGTCTTGAACCTGCTGCCCCGATCCCCGCTGGACCTGATGCACACGTATCGACCACAGCTCCAGCCTCTGATCAATGTGAGGGAGCAGGGAAGCCAGGGAATTTTGTAAGTGGTGCAGCCCTGCGGGACCGCCACCCTCGTGCACAACCAGTCGTCATCAGGTCTCGCTTCTCTTGGCCCGCTTCGCGCCTGCTCCTTCTCGGAGTTAGCAGCATTCTGCAGGCCCCCAGCGATGCACATGCCACGGGCATCAAGCGTGCATACAACCGGGCGGTCAGAAGAGCACAAGCGAGCCCCTTGCAGGGAACCTTCTATCGTGGGCGGTGGTGCTCCTTTCGAGCGCCCGTCCTCTCGCCGCAGCCTCGACTGGACCGTCGTCCCCAGTTGCATGCCGCCGCCCCAGCCTCTGCCGCCAGGCTTCTGCATGTCTCTTACACTGCGGGCGGGCTGACGGGCGAATCCTACCAGGAGTTGATGCAGTGGCTAGCCCAGCTGCCTTCAGAGCAGTGCCCTATGATAGTGCACATCCAGGAAACGCATTGGTCGCACGATCAGGAATACAGCACACCCGGCTGGCACATCATATCGTCGGCCTGCTCCTCCCCTAAGGCAGGGGGTCTCCTCACCCTAGTCAGTGATCAGCTCTGTTCGGCAAGCCAGATCTCATCCTCCTCCCGCGTTGCAGGCAGACTGCTCCACGTACGCATCGATCTGGGAGACCGCACGGTGGATGCAATTAACACATACCAGAAGGTTTATCATTCTGGCAGCACGAGAATTGAGAAAGGCCAGACTCAAACCGCGGCCGACCAGCGCATGGGCGTCTGGATGTCCCTTCGCGGTCTCCTTAAGGAGATTCCAATCCGTCACCATTTAATTTTATCTGGAGACTTCAACTCGCCTGCTCCGCTCATCTCCGAACTGGTGGGAAGTAAGGCCAGGGCATTCCGCACACCGATGGTCCCCGACCTGGCTGCCTTTGAGGCACTGCTGGTAGACTTCCAGCTGCTTCACCTCAACAGTTGGACTCGCAGAGCCGGTCCCACCTTTCTTTCCTCTCAGGGAGCATCTCAGATCGACCACGTCTTTGTGCGCAAGGCCACCGCCGACATGCCTGCCCGCGGGGGCAGCCCCTGTGACTGGCCCCTGGCGGCTTGGCGTCAAGGGGGACGACATCGACCGGTGCGGGTCTCACTTCCCATTCGACCTTACCGCGCCCTGGGCAAGAGTCAGCCCGAACGCGCCCTCCTTGATCTCCAAGGCCTGCGCAACGCCTGTCGCGATCCGAGTCACCCGGGAATTCGGCACCTTCGCGCCTCTGTTGAGGCCCTCCTCTCCGATTCTCCTGAGGCCACCGTCGAGGAGGTTAACTCCCATGTTCTTCAACAGGCGACGGAGGTGTTTCCAGCAGTCCGTAACCAGGGACGCGTCGTCCCCTGGCAATCCCCCACTGTTGCACTCAGTGTTAAAGGTATGTGGCAAGCCTATCACTGCTGGCGGCATGGACCGACGACAGGACATCGAAACGTCTTTGCTCTCTGGCGTGCATACTCCGCCTTCCGTCGTGCACATAAGCAGTTCCGTCAGAGGACCCGCGAAGCCAAACGGGCCTGGTTTCATGATCAAATTCTCGGCATGGAGCGAGCATCTGCTGCCGGGGACGTTAGAGCGCTCTTTCGTCTGGCTGGCGCCCTCATGCCCAAACAACCACGCCGCAAACTCCAGCTCCGAGGTCCTAACGGTGAGCTATGGTCCTCTACGCAACAGGTGGACTGCCTCAAAACCTTCTTTCAGGATCTGTATGCGCCGGAGGACGAACCGGCCCTGCCACCCCTACCGCCACTTCAGGCTCCCACCATATCCTCCTCTGAGGCCCACCGCCGACTCACACGGCTCCCAGTACACAAAGCCACCCCAGCGCATCAGGCACCCACGGCGGCGATTGTTGCCTGTGCTGATCTTCTTGCGCCTTGGCTCAGTGACAAGGTCGAGTCTCTCTCCTCCTTCCCGGCTGTTTGGTCAGACTGTTGGCTGGCCTTAATGCCCAAGGTCAGTCACCCAGTACTCCCACGACAACTACGCCCTATCGGGCTCACGGAAAGCACGAGCCGTGTACTGGCCGGACACTTACAAGATGCTCTCAAGCCCTATCTTCAGGCCTTTGTTGGCCCATGGCCCCAGCTTGCATATATGGCAGGACGCAGTACAGGGGAGGCGCTGCATCGCGTGTTCAGCCACTGTCACGAAGTGTCCGCGGCCAATCTCAAGCCTGCCTACAATATCCACCGTGCCAGAGACAAGCTGGCTCAGGCTGGCACACCCTCATCCCATCAATCTGCCTCCAAGAGGCAACGGACAGGAGGGGTCCAGGCATCACTGGACCTTTCTCAAGCGTTTGACCGGCTCAGCTGGAGTCTTATACACGAAGCCTTGCTTGAGGCCCAAGTTCCCATTGAGCTGAGGGTACAATTACTTGAGTTCTACAGAGGTCTGGGCTATCACCTGACCTTTGGTTCTGAGCAGGCCACCGTCCACGCCCTGCGAGGAGTTAAACAGGGCTGTAAAGTGGCTCCACTATTGTGGAGTCTGGCTACAGGTCTGCTCATGCGCCGATTGGCCCGTGCGACTTCTTCGGAGTGGGTCCGTCGCGCACTCACGGCTTTTGCCGATGACTTTCACATTGGACAGGTCGTCTACTCCACCCGAGACTTGCTTCTGTCCATTGACAGGCTTGGACATGTTTTGCAACTGCTCATAGATGCTCGAATGAAAGTCAATATTGACAAATCCGTGATTCTCCTCTCTGTCAATCACTCCTATGCCAACCGCTGGCGGCGTAGAGAAATTCTCTCTGACAAGGAGGGCCCACGACTGCGGATCTCGACACCCACGGCAGGCACCTTCAAGATGCCAATAGTGTCTACTCATAAATATCTGGGAGCCATTATCTCCTACCAGGAGGACTGTACGCAGCTTACGGTGGCATATCGATTGCGCCAAACATGGGCGACCTGGACCCGACTCCGACCAGCCCTTACCTCAGCCTCCGCACCTGCTCTCCCCTTGAGACTACGTCTCTGGCAGGCATGCATTCCTCCCACCGCTCTCTATGCGTTAGATAGCCTTCCGCTGCAACAGCAACACCTGGTACAGATCCAGAGAGCCTTAACAAAACAGCTGCGTGCTGTAGCCAAGTCCCAGGCACATCTGACAGGCGAATCCACAGTCGCTTTACATCATCGTCTCCGGGTTCCCTTTGTGTTAGATGCGCTGCGTCAGGCCTCTCACCGCCGAGCAGCCCGTTGGGCCGCCATCCCCCCTGAGGAAGCCCATCTTCTCAACCGCTCGTGGCAAACACGCATTGATGAAGCCCTCCAGAAGCTCGACTCCCCCCTCCAGCCGCTATTGGACGCCCCCACGGCTTCCTCGGTAAGCCCTGCCCTGCAGGACAAACCTTCAACCACAGGAGCCGCGGAATCGGGCATGCACGAAGAAGGATGGTCATGTCCCCACTGCTCTTATCAAGCGCCATCACATAGACTTCTTCGGGTACATCTCTCCCGAACCCATGCAAGTAAGGCCAAAGATCGGGAGCGTCCAGGCCGCTTCAACCGCGACCAACACTCAGTTAGTGGGATGCCGACCTGTCGTCTCTGCGGGCACCGCTTCTCTCGTTGGAGTGGCCTTCGCTGCCATATAGACAAGGGACACTGCAGATGCCTGTCCTTCTCAGCCTTGCCAGAGCCTGAGCCCACTACTACTGTGCCTCCGAACACTGCGACCCACCCATTGCTGCCTCATACATCTACTGGCATTGTCCCTGTGCACACGGAGGCCGGCACCACCTCAGCTACTACGTCTACGCCAGGCCTGGAACCGTCCCTCTTGGAGCAGTGCCTTGCTGCGCACCCTAGCCCGGACCTGGCTCTCTCTTCTGCTCCTTCGGGAGCGCTTGCAGCTGATGCCACCACTGCGGCTGCAGAGGACACGTCGTCAATTCGACCTCTGCCTGTCTCGCAGTCGCTGGCTTATACCCCGGCCTTTCAAACCAGGCGCTGCTCTCGAGGCCAGATCTCCGGAGCTCACTGAAGCACCACTGCCCGCTGTGCTCTCAGTGGGCTGCCTCTCCCTCGGGCCTCAAAGTGCATTTGCAGCAGTCGCACCCGGAATGGAAAGCTCTCCGCCCGGCTGCACAGGCGAAGGCTCAAGTTCTACGCCGCAGTCTGTGTAAACCATGTCTATACTGCCAGGAATCCCGCATTGATCTTCAACATCGAAGCAGTGTTACATGATCACTCTACTCAGCTTCTTAGAGTGTTGGCTGGACGACACCCTCCCTGCTATAGCCTCCACCGCACTGGACCAACCGGTTCACTCACTCCCTCCTGTCCATGTCAGTGGAGGATCAACGCGAGTTGGGCCTCTTCCAGAACTTCATGACACCGCCGGCGGGAATGGATGCGGCTCAACTCAAGCGCCGCCGGGGGGAGGAGCCGGAGGCACAACAAGCCCTGTTCCTGAACCACTCGTCCGGCTCTCAGGCCTCGGCGTCGACCATGACGTTCGCCAGCACGAGCTCGGAACCCAAGGGCAAAGGGAAGGGCAAGCAGCCCAAGGGCAAAGGACGGGGCAAGGGGGGCAAATCACGCCCAGCTGCCCAGCAGTCGTGGAACGATCAATGGAGCTCGGACCAGTCTTGGTCCAGCGGCCACTCCTGGACTTCCTCCGGCGACCTGACCGGTCAAATGGCCCGTCTCCTTCTCCGCCACGAGCAGCAGCTGCAGAGCATCCAACAGGACTGCAAGCTGCATCTCTATCTCCGCAGTGGGAAGGAATCCTTTCTTCCCAATCTATGCGAGGTTGCCAAGGAATGGAGCCGCCTTCGTCGCGACGAACCGGGGAAGATCAACAGTCCGCTGCGCACTCTCCTCCTCCGTGCTACCTTGCAGGAGATGGAGACCCGGATCAAGCTCACCATCAGCAAGGAGAAGCAGACGGCCATCGACATGCAGTGGTACAAGGAGGAGGAGGGCTGGACTTACATGCAGTGGAACGCACAAAAAGCACAGCTCGAACTTCAAGCTACTCCGAGTCCACTTGCCACCGAGACCCTCCTCGAACTCCTCCGAGAGCTTCGCACCCTTGTGAATCCAGACTCTGTGAAGAAATTCGCGTCACTTCGCGGACTTCCACAAGAACCCCAGTCCGAATGGATACACTTTCAGCTGGAGCTGGGGTTTCGGCCGCAGGGGGACCGCATGTGGGAAATCTTTCAGATGCTGCTCAACCAGAGCTGCCTCCACCCTCTCGGAGCGCGCCTGCGGAAGGACCGTCCCGGCCTGTCAAGCCTTGCGGCCCAAATCCAACAGGCAGTAGGAGGTTGGTGAAACCAACCACTCCATTGGCCTCGACCTCAGCCTCTCCAGGTATACGTCGTTTTCTCAGAGTGTCCAGGGATCTGCCCTTAGATACTGCCCTCTCCTCGCCTTCATCTGTGCCCTCGGAAGTCCCCTTGCACTTTCAGCCATTGCTTCATGCAGCCCTCCACAATGCAGATGGCACTGCATGCTACATGAACACAGCTTTTATTGCCCTGCTGTGGGCACTCGGCAGCTATGATCCCGCTAGATCTGGTTCATTGTGCAGCTTGTATCAGTGCCTGACTGCGAGGTCGGACCTTCGATTGATGCGCAACATGTGTTGGACCATGTTGCTGGGGAACTGGGCAAGGCCCAATCAACAGCATGACATGCACGAATTTTTGCTCCACCTTATGCCGAGAGTCCGTTTGGAGGCCTTCAGCGGTCTGTGGCAAACTCGCAGATTGGAAGACACAGGCACCGTGGTCTGTGCATCCTCCAGTGCATTGCTTCCGGTCACTGTTGACCTGCCCCTGGAGGCACGGGGGCTTCAGCATTGCGTTCAAGAGTGGTCTGCCCGGCATTATCATACCGCCTTCGACGGAACCATGCCTCATCTCCTATGCCTCCACCTGTCGCGCTACAGGCGTGATGATGAAAGGGGCATTCTCAGCAAGGATGATCAGGCCCTCCCGGACTGGTCTGAAGTGCTTCGCATTCCGCAATTTGCGACGTCACATGACCTTCAGAAGCACTGGAGACCCTATCAGGTGTGTGCCATGGCTCTCCACTACGGTCCTGCCTTGCATCAGGGGCATTACCGCTGTATGACGCGATGGGGTCAAAATCCAGTGCGAGTCTGGTTGCATGACGACAATCGTGCAGCTGAGCCCCTCTCTCTTCCTGACTCTGTTGAGCTCAGTCGCAAAGCCTATCTGATATGGGCGGTACGGATGGACTGAGGCCTTCACCTGCCATTGCGAGCACGCTTCGAATGACGACATAGTTGTACAAAGCACACGTACTGTCATTCGTGACTACGTGTGACTTGAGGGGGCTGAAGAAGATGTATACATTGTATACATAGGTTTGCATGTCTATATGCATACACGTATATAAGCTCACAGGCATATACATATACGTTCATACCTACATAGCCTATCTTGTATTCTGCATGTGTGCATACGTATATGTGTATATGCATGCAGGCCCTGTATCCTGCATGAAGCAAAACTCCGTAATCTACATACATATACATATGTATATACATATGTATACACATATCTATATACATATGAATATACATATGAATATACATATATCCACGCATCCGGGAGGGCGTCGGGTCAAGGCAAGGAAGGTGTTCTCATGCAGTGAACGCTCTTGTCTGCAGCCGGTCTCCCAGCTGCTTGGGAGATCCTTTATAAATCATTGCTATACCCTTCATATAGCCATAATATACCCATTATATAGCCCATGATAGGGTAGGGGTCCCCATTCAGAGTGCCGATCTCTTCAAGAAACCTTCAGTTGAACTCATTCTTCGAACCATCTCCGTGTCCGTCGCCCAGAAACAGTAATGCACTCAACATAGCTCCGTGCCGGCAGAGGTAGCAACAGACATGGCAGCAAGCACTCCTACTTTCGATGTCATTGGCCAAAGACCTTATCTAATCCTTCTTGTCATCGTAGTGTTACAACCATTGCGGCTGTTGATACCCCTTCTGGTACTTCTAACTATTTCGTATTACCGTGATTACTCGTAATACTGCTACCCTGGTTGCAAGGTTTGAGAAGGCCGTTGTCCGCCCTCTTCACAGCGCCCCAAAACCCAGAGCGCCACACCCTCAGCCCACACAGCCCTAAAGCCCAAAACCCTAAACGTTAAAGCCAAAAGTCCATAACCCTTTGCTCCACTCTCAACTCAAATTCAGAAGCTCCCTCGACATACCCTAAGCCCTGAACCCTAAACCCTAAACTCTAAACACCCTAAACCCTAAACCCCCCCGGGAATAAAACCCTAAGCCCCCCGACATCCTCAGTGTTAGTAGCTCAATGTGGCGCTGCCGCTGCGCCGCACTCTGCCGCGCCGCCGAGCCCGTGATTTCTAGGCGGCCCAGGGCTCTTGGGGGTTTAATGTAGGGGCCTTTAAAGGGATCCTTAAGGGTTCCTTTAAGGGATCTATAAGGGATCTGTAGGGTTAAGGGCTCAGGATAGGGGCCTCAATTATTACCTATACTTTTTTTGGGGGGGGGGTTCCTTGTTATAATTATGGGATAATGGGCGCCCAAACCCTATTCTAATTATTAAGGCCCCTATTTTGGGGGTTTTTAGGGTTTGAGGGGTTTAGGGTTTGGGGGTTTTGGCGTTTAGGGGTTGAAGGTGTAGGGGTTGAGGGGTTCAGGGCATGGGAGAGCACAGGAGCGCGATGCTCGACTCCTGACTTCCTAAGAGTAGGATTTCTTCTGTAATCCTTACTAAGGGAAACTTGCTGTGAATCAGGGTCTACATGATAAGTACAGATTGTCCAACGTACCCGGCACCCTGTCGCAACAGTTCGCTAAAGTCTAGTAGTAAAGCCCTTGATGCAGTGGGTATGAGTTGGTCGTGAACAACGACATTGTCCATGACACATGCATGCATGCCCGCAGGCCTAATCCGCTTAACCGTCATGCTCCACCTGTACCAATTGCCCCTTAACCCTAAACCCTGAACCTCCGAACCCTAAACCCCTAAACCGTCTGTACAGGCCTGTTGTGCGTCCTTTGCATCGCTTCTGTTCTTGGGCGCTATTTTCTCCAAAGTTCACACGAACTTATATAGTTTGTTTAGCGTTCAGGGTTTGGGGTTTAGGGTTTAGAGTGTTGGATTCAGGGGAAGCGCCTGCCACAGCTCTCCATGAACCAGCTCCATAAGCCCTCGTGCTTGAAACCAACTCCCTGAAAGCGTGAGCCCTGAATCCCACACCAGGACCAAACTCCTGTACCCCTAGAGGGAACTCCAGAAAGTTGGAATATGGTTTCAGGGTAGGATACCCTATAATTTACCATAGAAGGGTTAGGATAATCATATTCCAACTTTCTGGCTTTTACCTTAAAACCTAGGCTCCTAAATCCGTATACCCTACTGGAGTTCTTCGGCAGCCTACTACAGGGGCCGAAATAATTGCCTATGCTGTTTTGGGGGTTCCTTATTACATTTGTGGTATAATGGGCTCCAAAACGTGTACCCCTATAGCAGAGTACCCTTATATCATAGTACCCTTATATCATAGTACCCTTATATGCGTCCGCGTTCCGCGTTCTCGACCCCCCCCCCCCCCCCCCCCAATGGTATCCCCCCCCCCCCGACCCGGGCGACCACACAACAAGAACAAGAACAAGAACAAGAAGAAGAACAGCAGCAACAACAAAGCAGCAGCAACCACGCGGAGGAACCACAGGAACCACAGGGGGGGAGGGGGGAGACAGGAACCAGAAGAACCACAAAAGGGAGGGGGAAAACCAAGAGGAACCACAGGGGGGGGGGGAACCACAGGAACCACAGGGGGGGGGAGGGGGATTACCATGGGGGGGGGGGGGGGGGGGGTGCGCAGATGCTGGCGCATATAGACCCCTTTAAAGGACCCCTATTCGAACCACTACGTAAGGCCCCCTTTGTTTTAGTACCTTGGCTCCTGCACCGCAGGGAGGTTTCGGGGAGCCTCAAGGCTCCAGGGTTCCCAGCAAGCTTTGGGATTCCTCTAAGGGATTAAGGTTTACGGTTTAGGGATCAGGGTTTAGGGTCTAGGGCGTCGGCTTTGGTCGTCGGGTTTAGGGTATTCGAATCTGGAAGGAATTTGTTTTCGAGATATGGGCGCCACCCAGGTGGCCCAATGGCATGGCCCAGCCCTCGGGGCTGAATTTGACCATTCTCCAATGGCTCCTTAGGGATTAGGGTTTGGGGTGTCTTCTTGCGCATCGGTTGGTCGTCCATGCTAGGATGGCGCCACCTCACGCCAGGGTTTGTGGGTGGCGGCATATGACGCGTCAAGCGACGTTCCTTGCATGTGTCTTAGAACTCGGTGAAACCGGAAGTTCTCTAAAACCCGCCCGCTGTGATGATACCACAGGCAACCACCCAAATAGGGCTTCCGCCCTCAATTCCCACTCCGCAAAGAGAGGCCCAGATGCCGAAAACGAGGGGCACCAGGGCCGCACAGCCAGAGGCAAAGGAAAGGCCAGGCAGTCGGGGAGGCCAAGCCAGTTTTGGCTGGTTTTTTTTTCTAGGACCGGCCCAGCAGGGCCCGGGTCCCTGCAATAGCTCGGAAGGCCCGGGACCTTTAGAGGTTTAGGGTGTGCTTATTTTAGGCCGGCGGCAAGGTGGAGCCCTTGACAGCCCAGATGGGGCTGTGTTCCACCATTCTCCATAGGCCCCCGGGCATCTTCAGTGTATGGGTGGGAACGGCCCCAGCGGGCCGGGTGGGAATTGAGGGTTTAGGGTTTAGGGATTCGAGGAAAAAGGGGATTAGGGTTCAGGGTTGAGGGTTTAGGGATTAGGGTTTAGGGTTTAGGGATTAGGGTTAATGGGCGTTACTAATTCTTATAAGGGATCCTTTAAGGGCTCGCCAGGGAGCTCTAGGCTCTTTTAGGGGTTACTTTAAGGGATCCTCTAAGGAATCTATAGGTGTACATTTAAGGGATCTATAAGCGGTGGTCCCGTAACTGTTACTAAGGGTTGCTATAAGGGTTCCGATAAGGCTTAGGACTTCTGTCACTTGCAAGTGTAAGGGTTACCATCATATGGTGTTTAGGGTTGAGGGATTCAAGCTCTGAGTCGAGCATCGGGGGGGGCAGGGCTCATGATGGCTTGCTGATGTGGGAGCCACAGCAATGAGCCCATTGGGAAAGTATAGCGGGATAAGATCCAAATCCCCACTCAGGCCTCGTTCTGAAGAATGTGGAATGTTGGGAATATCTGGAACTGATCGCTTTCGAGGGTTTTTGTAATGCCTGGGAGAGACGGGCATCCCCCACAAAGCGCGCGAACAAATTATACAGCCAGACCGCAGGTTGCATTAACTCGAACCGGATGCTGCAAGGGTTTGCGGAGTACACAAAGGGACATTCTCCCCAAGGTACCTTGTGACGTTGAGTTGATTGATGAAATGCATTGATCTGCACGACGTAAACTCGCTGTGTCTACGCAGGGTCACACAACCCCAGTCCGGTTCGGTTTCTTCGCAGTACCAGGGCCGTGTCCGAGCACAATTTGTTGCAAAAGTAGGGCCGAGATCTACCTGGTTGTTTCATCGGTCACCCACAGACGGCAGCTACCATGGATGTGACACGTTCTGCGCAATCCCTGAGGAATACGCAACTATTCCCATAGATGTGAATAGACTGAGAACCCGAACTTCAGTGCTTTGCAGGGCAAGGGCAACCAGAGGTGCAAGAACAGAAATGATTTCGACGTGCGTGCTTTATATGTGTGCTTGCATGCTCAAGCCATCATGAGTGCGGAAGAGCCCCGAATTCCGTGAGAAGACAAGCGCGACGTGCAAAAACCTGACATAAGACCGACGAAGACGTCGTAGCAGCGACGTTGTTGGTCCAAACAGAATACGATGAGAACGATTTGAAGATCGCAGCACGAAGCTATGCGCATCTTTCATGAAGGCGTTGAAGAAGCTTGTTCGACCGCAGCGGTGGGCGGAAACAATGTACAAATTCAATTTATGCACAAAGCTGGTTGGGGTTGTGTTTCGTGTAACATATGCCGATACGCCGTACGGTTTCAACGAGTACTGCGAACGGCGGACTTAATTGAACAGCATCTTGTACTTTCAAGGCCTTGCAACGGCAATGGTTCATGAGCGTGTTAACTATTTCGGACTATGGTTCTTCGTAATTTTGTTTATTGGTAATACTTTATATATAAACTTCTGTATGTATGGTCCCGAGGACCATAGTACAGAAAAGCA